CTTCGCACGAGCTTCGGGAATATTGGCCACAAATGGCCACAGTATTTCAAACGCCTTTGGAAAAGCGATTTTTCATAAAGTGTTTGTGCTGTGATTGCACCTTGCACGCCCGACCTCTAGAGTAAGAAGGGCGGGGCAATAAACATACTTCACTCATTGCGTGTTTGGCAACTGTTTTTGTTTCTGGCTGTTGGGGATTCTCTTTGGGCTTATTTGGTATTTAAATGTATTTAAGAAGTAAAGAGTAAAAATATTATTAAAATGCCCTCCTATGCCCTCCTTGCATAATACATCATATCATAACTGAAGGAAGTTTAGAAGTCAAACTTCCGACAATAGGGACAGATGAAAAGCAGAGCAGGGAAGAGGCAGAGAGAAGAGAAAGGTTAGAAAAGAAAGAAGAGTAGAAGAGAAAGAGTAAGAAGAAAGAAATTGCAGATGCGTGAAAAGGTAGGAAAGTCGCGAAACACTGTGTTTTCCAATGATTTGGGGCTCCGGAGGGTCGAAAAGTAGGCTCGCTAAAGCGGCGGGTGCGGAGCCAGCTGGCCAGATGAGAGATGAAAAAGTGCACGCCGTTGTGGTGCGAAGCACATTTCGAAGTCAAAATGTGCAAAACACACCATTCTCGGAGCACTCTTGGAAGTTGAGATGTCGAAAAAGTGCACGCCGTTGTGGCGTGAAGCACATTTCCAAGTCAAAATGTACAAAACACCTCAGCGTCGGGGTAGTTTTGGAAGTTGCGATGCAAAGCACACCAGCTTCGGACCACTTTTGGAAGTTGCGATGTCGAAAAAGTGCACGTCGTTGTGGCGCGAAGCACATTTCCAAGCCAAAATGTACAAAACACAACAGCGTTCGAACCACTTTTGGAAGTTGAGATGTCGAAAAAGTGCACGTCGTTGTGGCGCGAAGCACATTTCCAAGTCAAAATGTACAAAACACACCAGCTCCGGACCACTTTTGGAGGTTCAGATTCAGATGTCGCTTCGCGTGGCAGGCGCAAGGGATTGTGCACCTTGTCAAAAGTGAGCAAAACGTGAAGGTTTTGTAGCATTTTCAACTACAACCACCACTACGCCACACTACACTCCAATACACTACAACTACAGCTACACCTTTAGTACATTCCACTACATTACACTCCACTTCACCCACTACACTCCACTACACTACACTCAATTACACTCAATTACATTCAATTACACTTCACTACATTACACTACACTACACTACATTACTCTACACTACACTACCTTCCACTACACTACATTACACTACGCTACACTACATTACACTACACTACACTACATTACACTACACTACCTTCCACTACACTACATTACACTAACGTACGCTCCACTACACTACACTACATTACACTACACTACACTACCTTCCACTACACTCCACTACATTACATTACACTACACTCCACAACACTACAACTACAACTACACAACTACACTCCACTACACTCCATTACACTAAATTACATTACACTACACTACATTACACTACACTACATTACACTACACTACACTCCACTACATTACACTACACTACCGTCCACTACACTTCACTACATTACACTACACTACACTCCACTACACTACAACTACAACTACGCAACTACACTCCACTACACCCCACTACACTCCACTACACTCCACTACACTACACTTCACTACATTACACTACAATACACTACACTACCGTCCACTACACTTCACTACATTACACTACACTACACTCCACTACACTACAACTACAACTACGCAACTACACTCCACTACACTCCACTACACTCCACTACACTTCGCTACACTTCGCTACACTAAATTAAACTACACTACACTACATTACACTACACTACATTCCACTACACTCCACTACACTACACTACATTACACTGAATGACACTGCACCACAGGTAGACAGGTAGACAGATAGACAAATAGATAGATAGATAGACAGATAGACAGCTAGACAGATAGACAGATGAAAGAGAGAGATAGACAGACAAACAGATGGATAGATGGATAGATGGATAGATGGATAGATAGATAGATAGATAGGTAGATAGATAGATAGACAGATAGATAGATAGATAGATCGATAGATACATATATAGGTAAATAGATAGGTAGGTAGGTACGAGTAGATAGTCAGAGAAAGAGAGAGAAAGAGAGGAGACATCAATCACCTTTCGATCCATCAGTGGCTTCGCTATAGGTTTCCTATTTTTGAAACTTCCGCCACCGCCTTGTGCGGTACTACTGGTAATTCTATATCCCTCTCAAAATAATATTCTTGCAAAAATCCAGTATGCTTGCAACAAACAATATGCATTCGACATTCCATAGAAAATCCATCCGCGTTCCTTACAAAAATGTAGGTAGTGGAATGCCCTGCTTTTGAAGGAGGTCTATTTCACAAGCTGCAAACTTTTCATTGCGCCAGTACAGAATTCTTTCAAGAAACAGTGCGTTCGAGAAACGTTTTATTGGGCACAATATCCAAAAAAAATCTGAAATCAGTGCTTAAACTATATGCAATCTTATCAAAATTGTGAACAATGAGCCTCAAAATGAGAAACTTGAAAGGGTTCACAATTTCATGATGATAGCTGATTGAACCTCATACAGCAGTTTATGAGGCTATTCAGCTATTCTGTTCGATGTCCTTTTGATTTTCTTACAGTAGGCCCATGGATTTCCCACACAAACCCCTAGAGACACACAGGACCTACACAAACACCATGAATACCTACTGAAATCCCATTTAAATCCAGTCAATCCCCAAAGGTTCCCTACTCAAAACCAGCAACCTTGGGCAGTCAGGGCCCACCAGAATCCCAAATATAGGCCAAACCCACACAAACCCTAACCAGCTAAACCAACTAGAGCCTGCAACAACCTCACCAAAACCTAAACAGATCCGACTAAATGATAAAGAACCCATACACAAACCTAAACAAACCCAACCAAAATCCCAAAAATGGGCCAGACCAAAAACAAACCCAAGCACTTTAACATCAATACGCGCTTATCAAAATCCCATAAAAACCGACAGATCCAAAAAAAAAAACAGCAAACCCCCACAAACCCTAGCAAAAGACCACAAAAACCTAAAAAAAACACCAAATCCCAAAAATTGCAATTTTCGGGCATGGTTGTGGACAAAACCAGCTGGCAATGTGCATTTGCCAGCCGTCCCTTTCTTTTTGCGTGTGGGCATGCTGTCTTTAATCCAACATATATTTCTCAATTTTTCTCAGTAGGAATCAGTGGCCGGCACCTACTGGTTCATCCATCCAAAAATCCATCAAAATAACATCAAGCACCCACAAATGTGCAAAGAGATGTTTCTAGATGTTTCTAGATTCCTTTGGGTTTTCCGTTGGCTTTTCCCAGCTGAAGACTTCAACAAGAAGGCCCACAGCAAAATAGCCCCTTAAACCATCCTAAGAGAAACCACTGATAAAGTGTGTAAACACGCCAGTGCACCCAAGGCACGGTGACCATGTTTTAATATGTTTTAATAACACATTTTTGAACGGTCTATTCTTGCAAAACATGACGTACCCAGGTGAAGGACGGAGTGTTTTTGTTGAAGCCGTGCAATCTTTCCCTTCTCTATCCTCTCTTGGAAGGAACGCATTCAAGGACAGATTTTGCTTCTTGAAGTTAAAGAAAGCCTCGAGAAACTTGCTCGAATTGTTGCATATGTTGAAGAAACCTGATCAAACCAAGAAGGAAAGGCTTTGTGGAATAATGTGAAGCATACATTTGATAAATTTGAATTCAAAAGATATGCCGCCTCAGATTGCCTCAGAGGCAAGACCAATCCGGATTCATCTGGATATTGTGGATTAATCCTGAGAACTAAAACAGACCAGCCGAATAAAAAACACAAGAACATGTCTTGGAGACTAGCTGCAATTTTTGGAGCATATTGAAGATTGTGCAGGAATGTTGCATCTCATGCGTTATCATGCTTTTTGATGCCTTGTGATGCCTTTCAAACCGACTACAAGTTGTCGACTTAACTCACATCACGCTTTTAAAATTCTTAAAAGGCACATCTTGTGTGGCAGGTGCTGTGAAAAACACTAGGCACATCACGTCGCTGAAGTCCGCAAATCGTAGAAAGTAGCTGGAATGAAGAAAACATTGCGAGCGCGCCGTCAACATGCACTTTTTCGTTTGAAATCACCAGCGAAAATCAAGAAGACATTGCGCGCGCAGTAATAAAGCAGTTTTCTTGGTTGCTGCAGCATCAAGATTAGCCATAGCAGCAGAAAAAGAAGCAGCAGCAGCAGCAGGTGGTCTATGGTCATGCACAGATGTGTGTTCCCTCCGAATAACCTCATCTCACACCATCTCACCATGGACCCCTATGGTCTTCGAAACAGCGGAGATATTCGTTGGCCTCGTGGAGTACGCTCCCAGACAGGTATGTGGAATAAGACTTTTGCATGATATACTGATATACGGGTTTGTTTAAGGCTCCAGCCACCCTTTTTAGCCAGGAGCATCCAGAAGAATAAAGAAAAAGTGAGCTGGCGCGCAGGTAAAACAACAAAAACATATGATTTAGGTAAAAAAAAATCAGTGGATACGAGTAAAATATAGTAAAATTGAGTTTCGAGTGGCGGGCGCCAATCAAGATGTGACTTCAACAAGAAGATGCGACTTAAGTCAAGACCCTAGTATTTTGATGCATTTTGCCTTTTCAAGGAGAGATGATCTCCTCTCTCTGTCTCCTGCTATATCCATGACATGGAACAAGCTGGGTGAGGACAAATCCAAGATGTGTTTCTGATCTGTATATTGAAATCCAAATTTCAGCGCTGACAACAAGCTCCTTTCTTTTCCTTTGAAATAAGCGTAGAGATTGTTCAGCAACGGGGTCCATGCACGCTAAAGCCGACTAAAGCCATGCAAAACCCGGCCAACCACGCCACCAAAACTCACAAGAATCAAGACCCAACAAGGGGCCTTCTGAATCACAAAGTCTAGCTTGCCTGAGAGCAACCCAAGGCAAAAGCAAAGAAACTGCCAGGTGTGTCCGCGTTCATAATCTGTATATTATATAACAGCCGGAAAAAACACAATGTCACACTCAGTCGGGGATGAACACAATATGTCCCAACTTAAACAAATCTGGCAAGAACGCGCACGTAGGTGCGCATAAAATGGATTAACATGAATTGATGAAATCATTTGAACATATTTTAAATCTTAACTAGGCTCATCCAAAAATCATCCAAATCTGTTTGCCGACACTGCAAACAAAAGACTCAGCTTGATTTGCGTGTCGTTTTTCAGCTCTTCTCCTGAAAACAAGTGTGATTGCGCAAGAAAGCCACTACTTTCCGTATTCCAACCAATGCAAAGATTGCAAAGGCACAAAACTGACGCCACGAAGCCTGGCAACGGAATTACAAGTGCACTGGAAAGTCAGATTGAATGTGAGCTTTGTGAATCAGCCGGCCTTGATACACTAGAATCATATCTTGAACCTGAAATGCAAAGAAATCGATGAAAGCGTGCAATCAGGAAGCTTCTCAGAATATCTCAGAATCACTCTCAATATTTCTCAATATGGACCTACTTGAAAAAGCAAGAAACACACAGCAGGGGCACTTCCCTCTTTATCACTTCGTTGTGCGAAACTGAGCAGGTGGACGGGGATCCCCATTTTCCGAGATGTGTATCTTTTCAGCATGTGGACATTGTCGTTGATGGAGATCTCTACCTGATGCGGATGATGTTGACGTCAACTTTCCAAAGAATCCGTTTTGTAGAGATGCGCTTGCAAGTTGATCATGTGCCGACGCGAGTAGTAGGGGTTGTTGCTTTGAAGAACCTTGAAGGACCTTGAAGGTACAGATTTCCTAGCGGAGTTTGCATGGGGTAAAATGACTTTAGTGTTGAGCTGAGCAAATGCGCTTGTCATTTGGTATCTGCTGATACTTAGGCGCTCAGGCTCTCACCCAAACTGTCCGGGCATTCTTCACATTGGTTATAAAAAGGAGAAGAGGTCGAGGCGGAGGAGGTGCCACCTCAGCATTCTTCCGATCCATGTCATATTCTTGTCAGGATTTGACGCATAGCATGCACACATAATCACACATACACATACAATCACATACAGACCCACCTACCTCCCTACGGACATTACATTACATTGCATTCAGAATATGCATGTGTCATTGTGTGTATAAGATGTATATTCGGATATTCGCATGCAAATGCATGAATATGTGCATGCAAATCCTACATTGCATGAATTGCATGCACATGTATACATACATTACGTTACGTTACGTTACGTTGCATTATATTACATTACATTACATTACATTACATCACATTACACACATATATGTATATAATATATACATATATTGCACATAGAAAACACGCATGTAATATGTATAATATATATATATATATTAATACATTATATAATATTATATGTATATATATATATGTGCGTGTGCGCGGTACGCATGTTATATCATATTATGATAAACACTGATAAACCAGTGTAATATCATACTGAACAACACACACATGTAATCACATTTAATTTGTATACACACACATCCACAATTTCTTCATGAGTGGGCGCACGATAAAACATTTGAGCAAAAATTGAGATCACTGCGAAGTCGGGAGGCGACCCTACTTAACTTTCCATCCCTGACCTTGTTTTGATCACCAACCTCATTTTCCAATGCCATGCTTGTTTTCTTTCTTTTGAACGCCTTCAACATCTTATACCTCATTCCGTTCCTGTAAAGCAGAACATTCTTCCACCCGAAGACTACAAAAAAGGGGGTTGCTTACATGGATGTGTAATGATGTGTAGACGATACTCTAGTTTTTAAAGGACCAGAACTTGTCAACATCAAAGTTCCACATTGGTATACATTGGTTGTCAATTGACTCAGGTGCAAGCATAATAGCCATCTGGAAGTGGCTGTGGGGCTGGCAAGGGAGTTGATGGCCTTTGAAAACACACGCACGCCAGAGAAGCAGCAAAAAATCAACAGTCGATGAGTCTACGACTTGAACACTTGGGGCTCCAGCATTGATGCGGCAAGATATGGCTCCCCCGGTCAAAGCTTGAATCGAAATTGGCCACGTGGCACACATGTCACATCGCGCCACAGAAATTTGTGATAAATTGACAAACCTGGTGCAAAGGTCTTAGCAATGGTAGCCTATTATATATGCTCGTAGTAGAACTAGGCTTTTTTTTCCACATCGAACCCAGTGACAGTGAAGAATGTAGGCAGGCACTCCCATGAAATATAACTCTTTTAGCCTGCACATGCATGTGCAGAGTTGCTGACATTGATAGCCTATGTGGGGAACACAGAGTGCCAGCACCAGTTCCCATGCGGGCACGATGCCAGCCTGATATGCGTACGAGTAAGGCTATGTGTGCAGGCAAAAACATCAAAATGCCAAAATGCGGAGCCTATGGATGCCGATGGAACACAGGAAGCTCATGCAGTATTGCTTCAAGTGTCTAAACACAGTTCAGCTTCAGAGAGGTGCGCCATGGTGTAGCATTCTTCAAATGGCTTCAATTTATTTCATCATGTTTGCTCTGAATGAAAGTCATGGCAGGTTGGACACGGTCAAACAAGCAGGCACTTTGTTTTGATGTCTAGTCACGCAATCGGCTGGAGAGCACTGTGGCTGAGCATCCCCTAGCGGAAGCATTTGCCATGAAATCAGCAAATTGGGATTCATGAAAACATCATGACACATCATGGAACTATGTCAGCACTAAGCGCACCGACTACGGCTGCACGCACACAACCTTGACATCCTTTGACCTTGTCCTCTGGGTCTTACCTCCAGTGATATCAGATATATCAAATATATCAGATATATCAAATATATCAGATATATCAGATATATCAGTGTTCCTCTGAATAACTGTTTGGAAACCAGCCGCCCCGATGGGGGTCCATTCGCAATAGATTTGTAAATGAATGAAAGGACTGAGAATGGACATGTATGGAACACACACACACATATATATATATGGTATATCTATAATCTATACATTTTCACAAAATATTATATACATGATTCTATATGATTATAGATTATGGACGTGTAATTGAGCACAATATGAATGAAGCGAAACGAGGTCCACACAAACATTTCTTGACAATTCTCTCGATGCTGCGTCAGTGATCATCAATGACATCGGAAAGCATAAGCAACGGAGGCGGCCTCTACCTTCTGCATCACTTTGCGGCATTCCTGCAAACCAAAGCAAAAGCCACGCCCCATCACGCCCCAAACACAAAGTAACAGCTAGACTCCGTTTGCCGTACTTGCTGTATCTACCTTCCTGCCAATACAGCATTGACAAAGTAATGAAATAGAAAATTGATAGACTCACTCACTCCCTCTCTCTCTCTCTCTCTTGCAAAAGAAGGGTCAACACATGCAAATGCGCAGCATCTTTCTGCATGTGCGGTGTTCTTCCTAAGTCAACGCATGCCCTCTCAGACCTTCACTTTGCTGCCATACTCCCAAGGATTGTTGAGGGGATTCTTCTTGCGGCCCCAAAGGCAGGGTGGACGTTTGTAGCCCCTGGCGTTGAGGCCAAATCCACGCTTCATGTTGAGAATGTTCTCAGGAGTTGGCCGGATGCGGCCTCCATTGTAGATCTTTTCAATGGGAATGGTGGTTCCTTCAAACCAACGGATGTGTCTCTGTCTCACACCCTGAGGCCCCAAGAACTTGCTGATCAGGTGGTCCTCATTGACAGTGATGCTAACCTCTTGAGAATCACACAGGTCATTGTATCTGCCGATCAAGTTCTCGCGGTCCCATTCAAGATGGCTGGGCACTTCAACAGGGCCGTCTTCATCTTGGTGTCTCTTTGCAAGCCCCTGTGACCTAGGCTTTGGCCTAACACGAATCTCATCGCCAAGCTTCAGGAGATGTGAAGGTGTGTTTACTGTCACCCACTCTGGATCTTTGTAGTCATGTGATACCCTTTCGGACCTGATCTGGATGTGATTCTCACGCACCATGAATCGGGCTGCTGCCATGGTTGGGGCGATCCCAACACGCCAGCAGAAGTTGTCAATTCGGCTTTCCAGAATGGCCATCAAATGATCAATGGGGTGCTTGCGCCCCTCCTTGAAAGCACGCAGCACATACTTGGTGAGCTGACGCACATTGATGTTGTAGTGGCACCGCACTCTTGACCTTTCACACAAATAGCGACCAAATGGAGACAACCTGCGAACAGGCCGCTTTCGCCATGGTTGCACCAGCCTCTTTTTCAGCAACGGTTTTCTGGACCATGCTGGAATCTCACCATAGGGCTCAAGGCGTCGCATGGTCTTCTGTCTGTGCATAGCTCTGCTGGGAAAAATGCGGACAACAACCTTCTCTGCTCGCTGCTGCTTCCTTGCGCTGGAGGCAATCACAGCACACGCTGCAGCCGCTGACAAACGACAGAACAAACTGAAGCTGCCAGCACTGCTAGTGGAGCTGGGCGGTGCAAATTGTCGGGCATCCTGTGAAATGATCACCTGCCGCTGTCCGCGAGCTGACTCAAGCACACCATTCCGGCTCCCGGTATCCACTGGTGTGAGAAATGCTGGCGCGCAAAGCGCCAAGGAGGCAATCAGTAGAGGCACTGAAAGCCGATGCATTTGCGCCAAGCAGGGCATTGCTTCAACAAGCCCTGAGCTGAGAACCGATAAAGTCACACATCACAATGCAAGCAGTGCATCAACTCGTGCTCATTGAACCCATTTGAAGCCTGCAGCCTATATACCCTATACATACAAAATATACATACACACACATATATATATATACACATAAATAAATATATGCATAAATATAATATATAACATATACCTATGCCACAGTGAAGCAAGAGGTCAAGACTTCCAGGAAAATTAGAACTTGGTGAGTGTTGCATTGTGCAAGTGGACCTCAAAACCAACAGTAATTACCGCCTAAAAGGTCCAGCTATGTCGCCTTCCCTGCAGCACCCCAGAACTCTCTCATTTCGTTTCGTTTCAATGCTTTGAGCGCATCGCGCTGATAACTGATAGGGCAAAAAGATGCAAAAAGAAGTTAGAGCGGTACATGAAGCGACATGACGACAAGGTCAATTTTTGGCTGCCGTTAATCAGCGCATGTGAGATTACAGTAAATATTGCCTTAAATTGCCTCCAGAATGCCGTCATGATGTACTCAAGTCATCTCAAGTCTGCAGCAATGCATCAGCTAATATCAGCTGTCATTTTTCTGAAAGGCGAGACGTGAATACTAGCGGTTACTAGTGCATGCCCTCTCAGACCTTCACTTTGCTGCCATACTCCCAAGGATTGTTGAGGGGATTCTTCTTGCGGCCCCAAAGGCAGGGTGGACGTTTGTAGCCCCTGGCGTTGAGGCCAAATCCACGCTTCATGTTGAGGATGTTCTCAGGAGTTGGCCGGATGCGGCCTCCATTGTAGATCTTTTCAATGGGAATGGTGGTTCCTTCAAACCAACGGATGTGTCTCTGTCTCACACCCTGAGGCCCCAAGAACTTGCTGATCAGGTGGTCCTCATTGACAGTGATGCCAACCTCTTGAGAATCACACAGGTCATTGTATCTGCCGATCAAGTTCTCGCGGTCCCATTCAAGATGGCTGGGCACTTCAACAGGGCCGTCTTCATCTTGGTGTCTCTTTGCAAGCCCCTGTGACCTAGGCTTTGGCCTAACACGAATCTCATCGCCAAGCTTCAGGAGATGTGAAGGTGTGTTTACTGTCACCCACTCTGGATCTTTGTAGTCATGTGATACCCTTTCGGACCTGATCTGGATGTGATTCTCACGCACCATGAATCGGGCTGCTGCCATGGTTGGGGCGATCCCAACACGCCAGCAGAAGTTGTCAATTCGGCTTTCCAGAATGGCCATCAAATGATCAATGGGGTGCTTGCGCCCCTCCTTGAAAGCACGCAGCACATACTTGGTGAGCTGACGCACATTGATGTTGTAGTGGCACCGCACTCTTGACCTTTCATACAAATAGCGACCAAATGGAGACAACCTGCGAACAGGCCGCTTTCGCCATGGTTGCACCAGCCTCTTTTTCAGCAACGGTTTTCTGGACCATGCTGGAATCTCACCATAGGGCTCAAGGCGTCGCATGGTCTTCTGTCTGTGCATAGCTCTGCTGGGAAAAATGCGGACAACAACCTTCTCTGCTCGCTGCTGCTTCCTTGCGCTGGAGGCAATCACAGCACACGCTGCAGCCGCTGACAAACGACAGAACAAACTGAAGCTGCCAGCACTGCTAGTGGAGCTGGGCGGTGCAAATTGTCGGGCATCCTGTGAAATGATCACCTGCCGCTGTCCGCGAGCTGACTCAAGCACACCATTCCGGCTGGTAGTACCTGAAGTCTGCGGTGCTACAAAGGCAACGGATGCGCACAAAGATAGAACTAACAGGCTGAGCACGCAGGCCTTCCACGCCATGGTGGAGGATCTGCACTTGCTTGAGCTCAGCTAGCGGAGGGAACTAATAGCAGAATCAGTTTTGGCACCAACGTGAGCACGGTGACTGGCACTTAATTTTAGCAGGATGAATTTTGAATCAGCGTTTGAATATTTTTGAATACCATCGCATTGATCACATTAGTTTTTTCTATTGGATCCATGCCACGATCTTATATACTTTCGCGGTCTCTCGTACTGTCTCTCGTACTTCCGTCGGTTCAGTTTTTTTCTTTGCTGGGCCTCAAAGGCTGTAAAGGTGATGCAGGTGCTAGGCACGTGAAATGCTGCACGAGCACCTGCAAAAACCAGTCGTCTACAGAAAAATGTTTTAAAGCACCGAACCGCATGACATCGCATGACCCATGCCGTAGCCAACACAAATGACACACACACACAAACGGCGCCCTAAATATACATAAATATACTTTAATCTTAAAATAATATTGGATAATGATAAATATATATATAAATATTTTTTCATAAATATACAACCAATTATAAACAAATGGCATCTTTTGCATGCATGCTGTTCTGTGCAGTTGAAACTTGAACTATTCCTATTCCAACAAAGTATGTCTCGATTTGCTTGGCCCAGCCATCCAGTGGTTGTGTGTATTGGAAAACGCCATCTTGCTCTTGCTTTCTCAAGTCTTGATTTCTTAATTGTCATGCCAAAGCTGGACTATAGTCGTCTGTGTCTGACATGTTTAGACTGTTTAGCACACCCACAGCAGCGGTAACTTCGTATGTCAAGCTTGGAGGCAGAGGCCTGCACCGCGGAAGAGACCCCGAAGGCCTGCTTCACCTCAAGTTTGCGTCTTGACATGCGACATGTTGCGACTGTGAGCAATTTTGTTTCTTCGCGTACATTGGACTAGGTTAAAGTGTGTCCCCCCAAAAAAATTGGCAAACAAATTCCTGAAGCGCCTCCCTGTTCAAAGTGTTCATTACTGTAGAATACACCTTCATACAAGAAATATCGATAGAAAATAACTATATATATAAATAATCAATATATAAATATCTATTTATATATATATATGAAAAATATAGCTATATTAACTATATATAATACTATATATATATATTATATATTATACTAGAATACAGTAAATAATCAGTAAATATATGTAAATATATTGTATATTTTACTCTTGTATACTTTTGTAGTGACGGTGATCCTTCACTCAAACTGTCATGCCTTGCTCAATCTACAATGTATGGCTGGGGCCCTGCACGCCAAAGTCTGGACCTTGCAAATCCAGGCCCATCCAAACTTTGAATATCACACCCGTACACACCTGCAGCATCCTACAGCATTTACATTCCAACTACAACAATACTTTTCAATGCTTGCCAATCATTGGATTGCCACGGTTCCATACCTTGTTTTTCGGCTTATATCTTAAATTTGCTGAACATACTCCATTTCCATGCAATTTAAATGATCAACAATACACTTAAAGATCAGCTGGCGCACACAGACAGAGGTATGCAGAAGTATCTTTGAAGATCCGGCACTGTCTGGTGATGTGACCCTATGTGACCCTACCCCATCATTGTTTTTCATACCAATACTTTTGAATACTTCTGATCTCTCTCAGTCTCTTTTTTTCAATTTTCCTCAACTTAACCAAGGAGCATTGCATCACGCAGCCCATGCAAGTGCCCTTCTGGTATTTTTGCGCCTGCACGGGTTTGATTCGTTTGACCCGGCTGAACTATTTCCTTCTTGGAAAACTGCAAACCAATAATTTCAAAACGAAAACTAAGCAAATCATTTGCAACCTCATTTGAAAATCCCCGTTGGATGTGCCACAAAGGGGCAGCACAAAGGTTTCCAGCCAAAAGCCTGGTTGAAAACCTATAGGGCCAACATATTTTGGCCAAAATGAAAACCTATGGGGTTTACATGTCACATCTTGGTGATGTTTGCCGTTTGCACAACATAAAAACCACGCAAAAATAAACAACTTATGACCTGACATGGGGTAAAGTCCAGTCACTTTTCTTTTTGAAATGAAAACCTTTAATCCCAAGATAGACTAACAACATATGTCCCAAAAAAACAAAACTGAATCCCTTGAGGGGTGGGATACTTAAGGAATGATCAAATGCCTTTTGATGGGGTTGTGGTTTCAGGTGAAACCCTCTGGTCTAGGCAAAAGGTTGGTTCAAAGGAATTCATCTTATGTTATGCTATGTGGGATCCTTAAACATTTGACCATGTCTTGAGTATCCCAAGTCTCAGGGATACATTTTTGAACTTAAGCCCGAAGATTCCGAAGCAGCTATCCCTTTTGCCCCTCACTGATGATCTCGGCTCACTGTCGTTGTTCATTGTTCACAGCACGGATGGAAACATCACAAACTCAACGTCCCTAAGATACACCACAGAACTTCAGACCGTAAGATTTCATAAGATTTCCATCTCACACATCCGTGTTTTGAACTTTGCCGGAACAACTCTCCATCTCATACCACGCATTTTGCGCCAACCCATCCTGAATCAATGTCCTAAAGATACACCACAAAACCTCAGAACGAAGATTTCATCTCGCACATCCGTGTTTTTAAATTTCGCCAGAAAAGCTCTCCATGTTACACTACGCATGTGTGCCAACCCATCCTGAACCAATGTCCCAAAGATACACCACAAAACTTCAGACCCTCAGATTTTCATCTCACACATCCGTGTTTTGAACTTTGCCGGAACAGCTCTCCCTGTTACGCCACGCATTTGTGCCAACCCATCCTGAACCAACGTCCCAAAGATACACCACAAAACCTCAGACCCTAAGATTTTCATCTCACACATCCCTCTTTTGAACTTTGCCGGAACAGCTCTCCATGTTGCGCCACGCATTTGTGCCAACCCATCCTGAATCAATGTCCCAAAGATACACCACAAAACCTCAGACCCTAAGATTTTCATCTCACACATCCGATCCCTGTTTTGAATTTTGCCGGAACAGCTCTCCATGTTTCACCACGCATTTGTGCCAACCCATCCTGAACCAACGTGCCTCAGATACACCACAAACGACTCATGACTCAGTTTTGCAAACCCATCCTCATCCAACGTCCCAAGATTCACCTCTCAAAATTTCAATGTTCACCTTGTAGGCGGCAAAAACGTTTAATTTTTTAAAGCGACTTGGGATCCTTGCAAGAAAACATTGTCCAATAAAAACCTGGTTGCGACCCTCACTGCAAAAGTGGTTCTCAGTAAGCTTCGGTGGCTTAAACTACCTGCGCCCAACCTGTTGCAAAAGTGTTCTCAAGAGGTGTTCCCTCGGCTGAAATCCTTTCGCTGCATGGTTTATCTAATTAGACGACGGATGGCCCGAGAGCGTAGAGGAGCAGAGTCTTCTTCTGCTGTTAGTATGGCGACACTATATTACAAGACAATATATTAAAGATGTATTACAGGCAGACGAGAAGAGTAGTATCAAGACAATATTATATGGCATCGTATCTTTTGCATCGTATCTTTCAAAAAGTTTTTCACGCACAGAACTTTTTACAGACAGACGCTTTTGCACACAGACGCTTTACACACAAACACTTTTACACACAGACGCTATTACACACACAAACACTTTTACACACAGAGACTTTTACACACAGACGCTTTTACACACAGAAGCTTTTACACACAGACGTACACACAGACGCTTTTACACACAGACGCTTTTACACACAGACGCTTTTACACACAAACACTTTTACACGCAAACACTTTTACACACAGACGCTTTTACACACAGAGACTTTTACACACACAGACGCTTTTACACACAGAAGCTTTTACACACAGACGCTTTTACACACAAACACTTTTACACAAACACTTTTACACACAGACGCTTTTACACAGACACTTTGACACACAAACACATTTACACACAGATGCTTTTACACACAAACACTTTTACACGCAAACACTTTTACACACAGACGCTTTTACACACAGAGACTTTTACACACACAGACGCTTTTACACACAGAAGCTTTTACACACAGACGCTTTTACACACAAACACTTTTGCACAAACACTTTTACACACAGACGCTTTTACACACAGACGCTTTTACACACAGACGCTTTTTCCACACAGACGCTTTTTACACACAGACACTTTGACACACAAACACATTTACACACAGAGGCTTTTACACACAGACGCTTTTACACACAAACACTTTTACACACAGAAGCTTTTACACACAGACGCTTTTACACACAGACGCTTTTACACACAGACGCTTTTACACACAGACGCTTTTTACACACAGGCTCTTGCGAAAGGGACGTGCGAAAGGGTCGCGCGGGACAAGTTGAAATCGCAATTTTACCGCAGTTTTTGCCGATCGAACCTCATTTCGTGCGAAAGGGTGGCGCCGGACAAGTTGAAATCGCAATTTTACCTCAGTTTTTGCCGATCGAACCTCATTTCGTGCGAAAGAGTTGCGCGGGACAAGTTGAAATCGCAATTTTACCTCAGTTTTTGCCGATCGAACCTCATTTCGTGCGAAAGGGTTGCGCCGGACAAGTTGAAATCGCAATTTTACCTCAGTTTTTGGCGATCGAACCTCATTTCGTGCGAAAGGGTTGCGCCGGACAAGTTGAAATCACAATTTTACCGCAGTTTTTGGCGATCGAACCTCATTTCGTGCGAAAGGGTTGCGCCGGACAAGTTGAAATCGCAATTTTACCTCAGTTTTTGGCGATCGAACCTCATTTCGTGCGAAAGGGTTGCGCGGGACAAGTTGAAATCGCAATTTTACCTCAGTTTTTGCCGATCGAACCTCATTTCGTGCGAAAGGGTTGCGCGGGACAAGTTGAAATCGCAATTTTACCTCAGTTTTTGACGATCGAACCTCATTTCGTGCGAAAGGGTTACGTTTCGTGCCGTCTCGTTGGCACTGCCCCTGCTCCCGCCTTCAAGAGAGAAATAGAAAAGAAGGAGAGGGCAAGAGGGCAAGAGGGCAAGAGGGCAAGAG